AGAAAGATTGACATCCTCGAGATGGAGAACAGGACACTCCATTCTTAGCGAGAGAATGATCTGTCAATAGCTAGTTCTAAGGAGGACTAGCTTGAGGAGAGGATTGGGGAGCTGGATAAGGAAAATTCCGAGATGCATGATCAAGTCACTGCTCTCGATGCCGAGAAAGCCCAACTTCTTGCGAATCCTTCTTCGTCTAATGCTTATGAATATCCCAACATTCTTTGGAGCTGTATAAGGAGTGGACCATGCTGAAGCCCAAATGGATGTGTTCTGTCACTTGCATGCAGTGGGCTCCAATTCTGAGGCGGCCCTCGAGGATTCCCGGGTCAAGGCTAGCCAAGCTCGACTTGCTTGTGGTTATGTTCCTGCTACGCCTCGACCAGGTTCGGTGGAGGATGAGGATGAGGGTGTGGATCGACTCGCGGATGGTGCTTGGTATGACTCTGCCTATGGTTAGGACGGGGATGGTAAGGGCGTTGAAGGCTGAGACGTCGATGGTATTGAAGGTCAGGGTGGTGATGATGTTGGAGACCGAGATGGGGAGGGTGGTGAAGGCCGTGATGGTGATCAATAGTAGTTTTCTTTTAGCTTTTTGTGTATTTTTGTTGGCGTCTTTGAGCGCCTTTGTAAAAAAAACTCTTTATCTAAGTATGAATATCAAAGTTGATCTTTGTTTTACATGTACCTTTTTCATTCCTGTGATTTGTTTCTTTACTTGTATGTTTTGCTTCTTTATCCTTTTTATTGTTGTTATCTTCTAGCTGGCCGTAGCCTTTGAGCCGAATAGCCATGGGCCATATCATTTTATATAGGCCAAGTATGTCTCTTAGTTGAGATGTGGCCGAGGGCCAATAGGTGTTGTTCGAGCTTGGTCGAACTTAGCCTTTCGTTAAGTCATGGCCGATGGCCAATAGGTGTTGTTCGAGCTTGGTCAAACTTATCCTTTCATTAAGTTTTGGCCGAGGGCCGCTAGGTGTTGTTCGAGCTTGGTTGAACTTATCCTTTTGTTAAGTTGTGGCCAAGAGCCGGTAGGTGTTTTTCGAGCTTGGTCGAACTTAACCTTTCGCTAAGTTGTGGCCAAGGGTCGGTAGGTGTTGTTCGAGCTTGGTCGAACTTAACCTTTCGTTAAGTTGTGGTCAAGAGTCGGTAGGTGTTGTTTGAGCTTGGTCAAACTTAACCTTTCGTTAGAGTAGTTTCGATAAATGAGAATTTCTATTACTTTGACGTTGTTGCTCTGATTACATTATTTTGTCCTTGGGAAATTTTTGGAGAAAGTTACAAGTTTGGGTGTTGGCTGGCGTTCCAGTCCCAGTATATCCGGTCCCTTCATTGTTCGACTTGGAGAATCTTGAGGGTCCGGGCAATGAAAAAAATCAGTTTGTTCTCGTACACTCCAACTTGAAGTTTCCCACTCGTCGCCTCGTTAAAAACCTCCTTGAGAAAACCCTATTGGGGAAAAACTCAAGTGAGGGAAAAAAGAGTACGACTTGGGGGGCATTTCTTGCTAGAAGTTGAAGTATTTGAGGTGACTAATATTCCAATTGTCTGGTAGTTGTTTTTTGTCCATTGTCTCTAGTTGGAATGAATCCTTGTTTTCTTTGCCTATAATTTGTATGGCCCGTCCCAGTTTTTTCTCAATTTGCCTTTTTGTGGATCCCTATTTGCTTGGGTTTTGTCTTTGAGTACGTAGTCCTCGATCTTGAGCGGTCAGACCTTTGCCTTTTAGTTGTAGTAACATTCCGCCTAGTGTTTTTGGGTGACCATCCTTATGTATACCATATCTCTTTGCTCGTCGACCTCATCGAGCTCTTGTCTCCTACTCTCATTGTTGTTGGTGTCTTTTTCATGGGAGTACCTCAAGCTGGGTTCTCCAACCTCGAAACTGCTTCTGTTCCGTAGACTAGGGAATAGGGCGTCTCTCATGTGCTCGTCTTCGGGATGGTTCTGTTCGCCTATAATACTTCCGGGAGTATTTTCGACCACGGTCCCTTGGCTATTCGAGCTTCTTTTCATGATGTTCAGTATGGACGTATTGGAGGATTCCGCTTGCCCGTTCCTGGCTGGGTGATAGGGAGTTGAAAGTATCCTCTTAGTGTGGAATTTTTCGAAGAATTTGGTGGTTTTTCTTCCTATGAATTGGGGTCCGTTGTTGGAGCTTATCTATTTAGGTAGGCCGAATCGGCAAATAATGTTTCTCAATATGAAAGTGATTACCTCTTGCTCATTGATTTGGGAAATGCCCCTACGTCCACCTATTTAAAGAAATAGTTAGCTAAAGCTAAAAGAAGTCGTACGTTACCTCGCCCTGGTGGCAGTGGACCCACAATGTCCATTCCCCACTTAATAAATGGCCATGGAGAGGGGGCTGAATGAAGGTGTTTGCCTGCTTAGTGAATTATCGGTGCGTATTTCTAACATTGCTCGCATTTTTCACGAACTCTGAGGCGTCTTTCTTCGTGGTGGGCCAGTAGTACCCGGCTCGTATGAGACCTCTAACAAGTGCTCGAACACTGAAATAAGCATCGCAACGGCCTTCATGGATTTCATCGAGAGTGCACTAGGTTTGATTCGGACCTAAATACTTTGCCAAAGCGCCACCATATGTTCTCTTGTATAAGTCGTTATGAAGGAGGCTGTATCTGGCCGCTTGCATTTAATTTTTTAGCCTCCTTTTGTCATTTGGGAGGGTGCCATCATGCAAATACGTAATAATACAATTGCGCCAGCCCCAAGTTAAACTTAAAGATTTTACCTCGATTTGGTCTAGTGACGAGTTGATGAGCTGGACTATGCTTTTATTCCTGGTCGTGATGCTTTTGGTGGTGGCGGACAACATGTCGAGGCCATCTGCTTCGATGTTCTGAGTTCGTGGGATCTGGTCGAGCTGGAATTCATCAAAATTGGGCAACAACTTACAAATCTCGACTTGATACTTTTGCAACCTTTGTTCTTTGATTTGGAAAGTCCATGTAACCTTGTTGTCTACGAGCTAAGAATCACAGCGGAGTCTCAGTGGCTTCACCCTATATTTGAGTGCTAGCCTCAACCCTGCAATCACGGCCTCATACTCAACCTCGTTGTTAGTCATATCGGGGCATCTTAAGGACTGGCGAATTACTTTGTCGGTAGGGACCTCGAGTACGAGTCCCAGTCTAGATCCAGAAGCATCGGATGCACCATCGGTGTACAGGAACCAGAAGTCTTGTGTTTGAAAAGAAGCTTGAGCATCTTCCTTCTCAGCCTCGGGCATTACTTTTGCGCTAAAGTCTGCGACGAAGTCAGCGGCGCTTGTGACTTTATTGTTGTTCAAGGCTGATATGTGATGTCGTGATCACTTAGCTCGATGGCCCATTTGGCCAGACTCCCTAGCTAATAGCTCGGGTTTATGTAAAATGCTTCTTAGGGGAAAAATGGTGACGATCGAGATAGGGTGGCACTGGAAATAGGGTCTAAGCTTTCGTGAAGCTACGACCAAGTCCAGGGAAAATTTCTCGAGGTATGGGTACCTCATCTCGGCATCGACAAACATTTTACTGATTTAATAAATAGGAGATTCCATACCTTTGTTTTCTTAAACTAGGACCATACTTACTGCTACATCGTAGATGATGAGGTAGACGAGGAGGTGTTCCCCAGGTTCAGGCTTTGAGAGTAAAGGTGTCGATGACAAATACACCTTTAGCTCTCGCAGTGCTAGCACGCATTTGGGCGTCCACTCGAGGTCATTTTTCTTTTTGAGTACGCCAAAAAACCCGTGACATCTATTAGACGACCACGAGATAAATCTTGATAAAATGGCAATTCGACCAATTAGTCTTTGAATTTGCTTCTTAGTAGCCAATTGCTTGGGTATCTCATCGATAGCCTTGATTTGGTCTGGATTGACTTCAATTCCTTGCTGCGATACTAAGAAGCCAAAAAAATGTCTCGAGGCTACGCAAACACGTATTTCTCGAGGTTTAGTTTTATCCTGTACTGCCTTAGTATGTCAAAAGCTTCTTTCAAGTGGTCGATGTGTTCTTCTATCCTCACGGATTTGACCAACATGTCGTTGTTATATACCTTCATGGTTTTGCCTAGTTGGTCTATGAACATTTTTGTGACCAACCTCTGATAGGTGGCTTATACCTTCTTCAATCCAAATGGCATGACCCTATAACAATATGTTCCCCTGTGGGTGATGAATGTGGTCTTTTCTTGGTCTTCTTCCTCCATGAGTATCAGGTTATAACCCGAATATGCATCCAAGAAACTTAGTAGCTCGTGCCTCGCCGTTGCGTCAATGAGTTGGTCGATATGTGGCAACGAGAATGAATTTTTTGGGCATGCTTTGTTTAGGTTTGTGAAGTCCACACACATCCTCCATTTCCCATTTCCTTTTTGACCATCACCACGTTGGCTATCCATTTGGGGTACTTCGATTCCCTGATGAAGCTGTTTGCTAATAGCTTCTCTACTTCCTCGTGGACGGCATCATTGGTGGTGGGGTTGAACTTTCGTCGGACCTGCCTCACCGGGGGATAGAAGGGGTCGACGTTCAATTTGTGTGTGGTGATCTCTTTGGAGATGCCCGGCATATCTGCATGGCTAAAAGCAAACAAATCTGCGTTAGTTATTAAGAATTGACTAAATTTACCTGGCTCTCGGAGTTTGCATCCGATGTAGGCCTTTTTGCTGAGATCGATGTGGTCTAATTCAACGGGGTCGAGGCCTTCTACGGTTGACTCTATGGCTTCGACTATTTCGGAGTCCATAATAGCTTCCCTAGCCCCATCTTGTGGCGACCTCGACCCTGCTAATTGCTATGCTTCTTTTTCCTTCTCTTTCTTTTGTTGAGTTGTCGTATTGTCCATGGCAACTCGGTAACATTCTCGAGACGTGCGGTGTTTCCCTCGTATGATGAATATTTCCCAAGGTGTTGGGAATTTGATCACTTGGTATAAGCTGGAGGGGAAGACTCGCATAGGGTGTATCCATGGTTGTCCTGCTATGGCGTATTACGCGGTGGCGTGGTCCATGATGTGGAACATTATCTCTAGAGTTACCCTACTGCCGAGGACGGGGAGTGTAATTTCTCCCGAAGTTTGTTCAACTGCATTGTTAAAACTGGTTAGTGGGATGCAGCGCAGCACTATCTTATCCTCAAGTATCATTTGGGCGAGGACTCGAGGGTGGATGATGCACACTCCACTTCTATCATCTACCAAGTTTCTTTTAACATGGGTATCTAAAATTCGTAAAGTAATGACAAGGGCATCATTGTGAGGGAAAGTCAAACCATCAGCATCTGACTCGTCGAAGATGATACGCTCTTCGAGTCTGTCATACTGTTCGTGGGTAATTAATCTTTTGAGCTTGTGGGTGGCGGTGAATTTAATGCCGTTTATGGTGGCATCTTCGCAACCACTAATAATCATATTGATGGTACAAGCTAGCGAATGTGGTTTTGGCAGGCCCTGACGTTCGCGTCCCATTGCTAAGGTGTTTCTGCCTTTGTCACTGAGCATTTCTTTGAGGTGCCCTCGCTGTAGTAGGTTCACCACCTCTAGTCGTAGGGCGATGCAATCCTTCTTTTTTTCTCCGCATTCTTCATGGAATTCGTAGAGGGCGTCGAATTTCCTGGTGTTGGGGTCGGATCTCAACTTTGGCAGCCATTTTACCTTCGTTCCAAACTTCTCAAGGCCGTAGACCACTTCTGTAGGTGAAACAGAAAAATTGTGAGCAGATAACAAGGGAGGCATACCTCTATTGTTCCTGTGAATTCCTGATCTCGGCCTGGACGGGCTGTCTTCATTGCGAAAAAAGGGAGTGGGTGTCCAAACATAGGGTTGTTGTCGCTCTCTGTTTGGCCGCGAGACTGGATGATCTCTCCTCATATTATCTCCTCATTCTTTCCTAGGCTTGGATTGTACCGAGATGAGCCGATGAGTTGGTCCGTTGAGCTAGCCGTCATCTGCTCGAACCTCGGCACAATAGGAATTATGAATTTCATCCCACGTGGTTGGGGGATACTTCATTAACCGGGTAAGCAACTTTCTGGTTGCTCTTGAACCTTCTCTACTCAACCCATTCTGAAAGGCTGTGATATTTTATACGTCAATACCACACAAGAGGGGGGGTGATTTGTATGGTACCCAACTTTTCGCTTAAACTGCTTCTAGAAGGACCTGGTTCTTCTATGTGTTCCAACTACTACTGTTGCGGAATAATAAATACAGAAAATAAAGAACACACAGATTTTACGTGGAAAACACCCGACTCAAAAGGTGAAAAAACCACGACCTACTACTCAGTAGGATTTTCCCCAACACTTCACTAAATCACTGAGCCAAAACAGCATTTATAAAACTCTTTGTAAACCTAAGGATTACCTCTAATCCCATTGTAGCAACCAGCCTCTAACTGTTGCGACAACTTCAAGTTAACTCTAACTTGAATACTCAAAATACCTATTACAATTGCTTCTAGATAAAGCTGAAAGGTACAAAAAGCCTTGCTATTTTGCTCTCAATTCACGTTTAACTTCTGCGTTTTTGTGCAACACATGTAATGTGAGAACATCCTGCAATTTATAGAGTTAGTAGATGAAGAAATAACTAGAGTTTTGATGCAACTCTTCCTTGGTGGAAGAGTTCTAGTTGATTTCAACTTCTAACTCCTTCCCTATCTTGGATAGTGTTCTCTTTGATTAAGGAGTCCTTCTCCTTATCAATTATGCAACCTTGTCGATCAGGAGATATTAAATACACCAAGTTAAGCTTATCTCCTTCACGTGCAACCCACATGCTCGAATCTGCCCGTTTTTGTGCACCTGAGGGATGGACTTGGTTCATCCTGAGTTCCTTTGTCAGTCTTCAAAACTAATCTTTACTTGGGCCAACAAATTCCCCCTATTTGATGATGACAAACTCTATGCTTTTCATAAGCTTAGGCCCTATTTCAACTAAGCTCAACATCAACACAATGTTAGAAATATTTTTTCTTTCATTACTTATCATCAAGGACCAGGTACATTAGGTTATAAACATCATTGTTCAAAGTGTAAACATCACTTGTTTAAAGCACAACCCTTTTTCCCCCTTTTGGCATCATCAAAAAGCTGCATAAAAATGTGAGATAACCAGATTTTAAAACTTACTCATGGGCACTGAGGCTACTTCAAATGCAATCATGGATTAATCATCATAGATCAAGCTAAGAATTTTTAACCATCAAAGAAATATAAACAAACAGTTAGAGCAAACATAGTGAATTTCATTGATGACTGATAAGATTCTACCACAAAGCATAAGAAGAAATAAAAATACTGAAAACATGAGCAAAAGAAACAAAAAGTCCCGTACTGGGTCACTGGTTTATCTACATTAGGGTAGGAGTCTTAAGGCTTGGAAGAGGTAGGGCTGAGTTATTTGCTTGGAGAAGTTTCAGCATGTCTTGAAGAATTCCATCGTTCTTCTCCTTTTCCCTTGCAATTTCAGTTTTGAGAACATCTCTCTCAGATTCTACCTCAACCAATCGTGTCTTCAGCCTTGCTATCTCAATATCCTTTGCCTCACTCTCCTGTACAAGGACTCTGACTTTGCTATTGATAGGTGTCTTTTTAGATGAACCAGGTTCATTAAGAATGACATTGACTTCATAATCGCAAGCAAGCAGAGTATTAACCCCAAAATGATCCTTGTTTGTACTAACCTCCCACTTCTTCATAGGTACCTTAAAATGTGCAAGCACAGTTGTGAGAATGAAACCATAGGGAATGGCATGAGTTTTGGTGCCATTGATAACTCTATCAGTAGGTCCGCGAGGGTTTCCTGTTCAGATGGACAGGTTCATCTATATTTTTCCCAAGTTGAACCAACCCCTCAGCAGCTTCACCAGACCTACTTCCCCATGTTTTGCTCACACTCTCTTCTATTTCAGTAAATTCCTCTCCCCAAACAACCATTGCACCAGTTTTTTTTTGTTAGACCAACAGGAGTGGGTGAAGAATCAACCACTCTTGTACCCTTTCCCCTCACAGTACTCCTAGCACCCTTGCTATCCTTTTTGTTTCCCTTTTTATTTTTACCACCAACTTCTCCAGATTCTTTAGTCTCAACACCTGCTATAGATCCTACCAGCACAAATCTATTCTCCAAATTTGCAGCAACTTCAGAAATTGTCTCAGGAGTAACTTTAGAATCAGAAGATACCTGTTCAGTTTCGGAAGACCTACTTTATTCCCCCTTAGTAGCAAACTTAAATGAATCTTCAGATTTCTAGGATTCTTCTTCCCTACCTGCTTTCAATTGCTTGTTTATTTTCTTGATCTGCTCTCCTTCAGCGACAATCTTACGAGCCATCATCTTTACTCTACTTCTCTTAGAGATTGGTATTGTAGAAGGTGTGGAAGTGGTTTTCTGTGGTGGTGATGAAGGATTTTTCAGAAGTGTTCGACATATCTGGGCTAGGATATGGAAGAGAAGAGAATTATATTGTGTTTGGAAGATGAAAGAAGAATGAGAGTTTTTTGACGGCTTGAGAGAGATGAAGTAAGAAATACACTAAAGCTGATCAATATATAGAGGAATAATTGATGGGGTAGCTACAGCTTTTCAGACTCTTAGAAGTTTAATCAAACTGCAATTCAGTTTTGAAGAGACGTCGGAGTGTATCCCTAGAATCTAGGTACTTCCATTCGGTTGGGACTCTTTTGAACGGGACTAGTTCACTTGTAACTGATAAGTCCAAAAGGAGTTTGGTATTTGGTAGGACTCTGCTCATGATCCAAATATAGTTATTTCAAACTATGCAAGGTGTAGAAAACATACCGTGTTATCTTGATGAACTAGGTTCTTCACTGATAATTCTCTTGTGTGAGTCTAAATTTGCCAAAATAGAGAAAATATCATTAGAGATTAATGAGTCATTTTAACACATGGCACAAGAGTATACTATGTAAAGTATGAGACTGAGCAAGATTTAATCTACTTATACACAATTCATAGACTTTCTAACCAAATTTTTTTTTTAAAAATTTTTTTCTTCATTTGTTTTTCGTTTAACCTTGAACTGGTCCTTTTAGGTGATCTTAATCATCCCTAATTCCAACCTGTTCCTCTCAAAGTGATCTCTACTTAAGGCTTTTTTGAAGATGTCAGCAATTTGCTTGTTAGTAGCACAAAATTCCACAGTGGCCAAGCCTTTCTCATAGTTGTCCCTCAAAAAAACTGGTGCCTAACATCTATGTGCTTAGTTCTCTTATGATGAACCAGTTTCTTTGTCATACTAATAGCACTAGTGTTATCACAAAAAATAGGGATCCAACCACATCAATTCCAAAGTTCAATAATTATTGTTTGATCCACAACAATTGAGCACAACATGAAGCAGCAACAACATACTCCGCTTCAGCAGTAGATAAGGCCACTGAATTTTGCTTTTTGGTATCCCATGACACAAGACATGAACCAAGGAAGTGTGCCATACCTGAGTTGCTCTTCTTATCCACAAGGAAACCTGCATAATCAGCGTCAGCATATCCCACTAGGTTAAAATTATTACCTTTTGGATACCAAAGGCAAAGGTCAGTGGTGCCTTTCAAGTATCTCAATATTCTCTTGACAGCAGTCAAGTGCGACTTCCTTGGAATTGCTTGAAATCGAGCACAAAGACCTATACTGAAAACAATATCAAGTCTGCTAGCAGTAAGATACAAAGGAGAACCAATCATTCCCCTATACAACTTCTGATCAGCAGATGAACCAGGTTCATCTATATCCAATTTCGTGGATGTTGCAATAGGAGTGTCAATTTCTTTGGATGTTCCTTCCTGGTTTTGTTACTGAGGAATAGGTTGATGGATAGGTTCCCTCAAGGTTTGAGGATCAGTTCCCTTCTAGTCAGTTCCCCCTGTCATGTTGTCCTGGGTGGAAGGACCTGTTCCATCACCTGTTCCTTCCTGTGATGCATCTTTAGGCTGGACTGTGGTTTCACCACTTGAATTTCTTATCAGCCAAATCTCTTTATTATCTTGTTCCTGCCTCTCAGAAAGAATGTTAGTTTTAAAAAAAATAACATATACATTTTTTTTCTACACACATAGTTCTTTTATTGTATATCTTATAAGCTTTACTATGTGAAGAATATCCCAAGAATACTCCCTCATCACTTTTGGGATAATACTTACCTAGGGAGTCTTTGCCATTAGTTGCACAAAGCACTTGCATCTAAATGCCCTAAGATGGAATATATTTAGCTTTCTCCCTTTAAATGACTCATAGGGAATCTTCTTAACAAGAGGTCTAGTCATGCAACTATTTATGATGTAGCATGCAAAATTCAGCAAACTTAGCATTTTCAAATTTAGTTCCATGATCAGACCTAATTGATGCAAGTTGATTACCTAGTTGTTGCTGAGTTTTTCTAACAAAAGAAGTAAACATGTCAAATGCTTCATCTTTAGATGTTAAAAACAATGTCCTAGTAAACCTAGAGTAATCATCAACAAGCACCATCACATGTCTTTTACCACCTCTGCTTAATATTCTCATTGGACCAAAGAGATCTATATGGACCAGTTCCATCGTTCTGGTGGTACTTACCACTTTCTTGCATTTAAAAGAGGATCTTACCTGCTTCCCCCTTGCACAAGCCTCACAAACTTTGTCTTCCTTGAACTTGATGTTAGGCAGCCCTATCACCAGGTCCTTGGAGACTAATTTGTTGAGTTGACTCAGACTTGCATGTCCAAGTCTCTTGTGCCAAAGGAGGGGATCATTGTCCAAGACACTTAAGCAAGTTAGTTCATTTTCTGAGAGAGTAGACAAATCTACAATGTAAATATTGTTAACTCTTTTTCCCTGCAAAACAATCTTGTCAATTGTAAGATTAATCA